AACTAGCGGGTCGATGTCGTCAGCACTCGGTTCATGGACCACCGTTGCGTCAGGTCTCGGTTGGTCCGGAAGTTCGTTAGACTCTTCGTTGCTGGCGTCGTTAGCTTCGTCTCCTTATGTTCTCTCTTCTGGTTCATCACCCGAAGTTTCATCGGCAAAGCGTACTTGTTTCGCACGCGCGCGGGCTTGTTGCCTCGTTCCCGCGGCAACATGTCCAGTATCCCGTACAAAATCGAAAAAATTCTTTCTACGGTCCCTGTCACGCGTATCCATCACACGTATCGAGTTCACGTGACGCGTTACGACTTCTCCAGAAGCTTCAGAGGCTTCGGCTGACGGTTCATAGAGCACTTCTCGGATCCGATTCAATTCCATCAACTCTCGTTTTCGGTCTTCGCTGTTCACCGTCATCGACACCTTCTTCTCCAAGGTTTCGCTCGCCAATGAGTCTGCGGCTGCATTGAACTCTCGGATAGCATGTAGGTACTTCACGGACCGAAGTCTCGCGGTCAGTTCCTTGTGCTTATTCAGTTGTGCCATCAGCGACTCCTTACGGCAAGCGATCACCCCTAGGGATGGCTGGATTGCGAGTCTCGAGTCCCCGACGATGACTAAGTCCTCGGCCCCATGTTCCAGGGCGGCAGAGACCCCGTTGTTCATTCCGGTGTACTCAGCGAGGTTTACAGTCGTGGTCTCGAGATACGCACTCGCAGCGATCACTACACTCCATTCAGGAAGTCGCCATAGTATCCAGGCGCAACTGCCGTATCCACCATGCTTCTCGGTCTTCGCCGAGCCATCAAACGAAAGTACGTAGCCACTGTATGTACGTGGCAACCGTGCATAAAGAAAATGCGGATCCATCCGAACACTCGGCGATCCTTTGGCTCGAGGGGTCACTGGTGCCAACGAGGCTTCGAGGTCAACGAAGCTTGTGATCGTCGACTGTAAGAGCTGCGCGAAGGCGCAATCCTTTTCCTTGACTCGTTGCACCACTAGACTCCACGGAGACAGTAAGACGGCAAATTGCGTTGCACGTCCGAAGAGTGTCTTCGACTTGTGGACCCAGTCGAGCGTCGAAAACCGCGTGTAGGCATGTATGGTCCGACCGGCCAGCTGGGTGTAACACACCTTCAACAGCTGTAGCAAAGC